CAAAACTAAATTGTCTGTATGACAATCTAAACGTTGTTTTCGTATTCTAGATTAAGGAAAATCACTATATTTAGAATGGAAAAGCATCATTTCAGAAAGTTCTTTAAAAAACCCATGGGTAACAAACCTGTCTGAATGCTTCAAAACTTTGTCCTGGCTGTGGGCGCATTACGAACTCAAGCTTGGGTTAGTTCGGCAGTTAATTCGGCATGCCAACTTTAGTGAACTACTGTCGGATTCTATTCTCAAACCTTCATCCAGCGCAACCGCGAGGTTCCAGCCACAGACATATAAGTGACAAAGAGCGGGCAACAACGCAATCTCGATCCACCAGACTGTGCTTCTGTACCATTTTCAAGCTATCGCTTCAGTAGCAGCTTTAAAGGAACAGATACAGTATTTCGTTAGAATTTGTATCCTAATGAATAATCATAAAAATGATAATAAACATTCTTGAAAATTAAACTGAGTGACACCTTTAAAGTGATTCATTATTTCTATGCTGTCATGGTAATCTGTAAATTACGCTCCGAACAACGTTTGTAATAAAAATCAATAAAATGTGGCAAATATTACCTGGCTACTCAAACCGTCGATCAAAAGATGAAGCAACACCCGTCCTTGGGTTCGCTGAGTGATTTTCAAGAGGCTACAATTTTTTACGCAGAGCTGTTGGCTAGCGAAGCCACTTTTCATGAAATCTTCGGCTACAAGGTCTTCGACGTGCTTTACTTTACCATTGGCTAGAAGTACTGATGTTCCTTTAACGAAGCAGTTCGCGAATGAGGTCAGCGACGCGCAGGACGAAGTTGCATGCACAACGTCGTCACTGGGGTCCACGTTCTTGTCTGCGATGTCCACTTCGAGAGGATCATCATCGTTTGGGTCTGATTTTGTCGCCGACGTTTCATTACCTTCACAGTTGATCGACGAAACATACTCGGGACTGCTATCCCCTTTACCGTGACCGACACTGATTGTTCTGTTTTTGACAGAGTCAACGCCGGAAAATGACAACATCCGCGCATCGCGTTCTCTCTCACCGTCTATTTCCAATACCACGTCCATCTTATGCTCTTGTTTCCTACCGGCGGCATCGGTCGTAGCGGCTACAGCAACGACACTGCCACAATGTCCACCACGGGAACCACCGACAACTACATCCGAGTAGTCCAACGATGACGAGGACAACGGCTGAAGGACGTTGAACTGACGATGGGGAGGAGGAGGAACGAACGCGGAAGAATCGGCCGGAAAGTATGATCCTGAATATCTGTCATCGAAGTAAGGGATGACGGCCGGCCCTCTTCCATCGTAACCGGACGGCGCCGATAGGTGCGAGTAAAAGTAGGCGGCGTTGATCAATGACGTATTCGTACCATTGGCTGCTGCCGCTGCCGTTACATGGCCCAACGAATGGAACGGCGTAAGGGTTGAGGACAAATGTACCCCGGCGCCGCCGACCACAGGCGGATTCATGAAGCTGAATCGGGCTGCCGCAGCAGCAGCGGCCGCAGGCATCAACCGTGGATCTGAGCCGAATTCTCGTAGCAAAAAATTGCGTGACTCGAACTGCGAGTACACCGATGCCGGATACATGCGCGCATGAAACGTGATCAATGACGGGAACTTTACGACGACGGCGAATGGCAAGGCGAGTGGCGAGCTGTTCCGTACAACCCTGAAGAGAACATCCCCTAATGAACTGCCAGACAGCTCATGCCAGAATGACCCTAAAAACAACAATCATATAACGTATAAAAACATGCCGTGCTTCATCATCTTGATGCCAGTTGTTTTACTCGCAAAAACGAGTAGTCAGACAGTACGTAAAATGTAAAGGAAGGTAAAAAGAAAAACAGGATGCGGAAAGTGCAGAAATGAAGCAAAGGAATAGGAAGAAAGAAAAACAATGGAAATAAGGAGAAAGAAGACTAAAGAACAAAAGGGACTATGAAAACTGTGGCACCCAAGAAGCGCACAGGAAAGAAACAGAAAATAGGGAACATTACGGACAAAAGACATAAAGTAAAATATTGGAGAACAGAAACAGAACATTAAGAAAGGGTACAAGAAGGAGCAAGAAAATTAGGAAAAACAAAAAAAAGGCAATAGTAGAAGAAAAAAAGCGAAGCAGAAAAATAAAACAATAAAAGAAACAGCGGAACGAAAATGAGAAGAAACAAAAAACAATAAAAAGAAAAAAAGGTAATATTAAAAGGAGACAAACGTAGCAAATAAGAATAGGGAAATGAGGAAAAAGAAAAATTACTTTAACGACGAGCGGAGTATGATCGAAATGTAAGTGATTTGAGTAAAACAGTGTAGATACGGAGCAAACCCGTAAGAAACACGAAGATTATCAGAAAAGTGAAGTAGAGAAACAAGATAATGATTAAACGAACGACGAAGTATAGGAAAAGAGTAAGAAAAACTATAGATAAGAGTGAGGCAAAAAAGGAAAAATGAAATAAGAGAAAAATTTGGTGAAGCAGGGAAACGAAACAGAAAAGAGAATTTACGAGAACAATAAGTAACAAAAAAAGTTGAGACCGAAGGAAAACAAGCAGAAATAGACAGAAGATGAAGAAAATGAAAAGAACAGTACAAATCAGAAGACGAAAAGAACGAAATGAATACGGCGAACAAGTAGAAAAACATAACTGAAAGAGGAAGGATAAGAAAATGAGTGGGAAAAACAAGAAACAGAAAAACAGGAAAAACTGGGCAGGTAT